TCAGTCCATCTTCAGTTCTAAGACAGGCGCTTAGTTTAGAGTACATATGTCTCAAAAGATTCAAGACTCGTCCATGAATATCAGAGTTCATCAGGCGATACGAAAGGTGATTATGATTGACAAAGTCAAATGCTCTTGACAAATCAATGAAAAACAGTAAAACCACCCTCCCGACTTTGGTAATTATAAGTACTTTTGTATCATTCCTTGAAGGGTAAAGATGTTGTTGATAGTGGTATATCCTTTTCTCAATACGGCTTGATTTTCCTAAATAACATTTTCCGTTTGAGACCGCGAATGCAAACGTCCATTGAGTATTTTTGTGAAAACGTTTCCAATCACCGATAGTAAAGAGATATCTCGATAATTCAGCACATCATTTTGGGATCCTTTCTTGTGAATGGGATAAATGATTGAATTTCAACATTCTGTGGGGAAATATCTACTGTCTAATAATATTTCATTAAAAAACTTGAACAAATGCTGGAGCAATTTCCGTTTTCGATTGGTGCAATAGTTAAGCTGTAATCCCGTCACATCCTGGCGCTTTTTTCGTTTTTTGAGTTCTCAATACTACTGATAACTTCTGACAAAGTTACAATACTACTATTACAATACTACTTCTGACAAAGGTATTCGTGCACTAAACATCTTATTTCCTGTTGTCATTTAACGGGCTTCGCACTCATCGTCGTGTGTGTAAATGTAGTTTTTAACTGTATCTTCTAATGTTGTAGCGTTTTAATCAGAGTCCAGAAATTGTTGAAAGTGGTCCGTCCATTCCCCTCCAGGTATTGAGTTAGTAGTTTTAGACCTTCGAAGTTTCTTTATTTCTTTCCATAGATTGTCTGTATTATTCCAGTTATTCTTGATGTTATCTTCATGTTGTTTCTGGTCAATAGAACACGTTGATTTGAAAACTGCATTTATGTGTCTATAATGTTGCAAATCTTCATCTGTCTTAGTCTTTCGAAACCTGTCGAGTGCACGATACTTATCTCCCTTGGCGGTCTGACAGCTGCTATCCCACCACAAAGGCTGTGCGTCGTCTGTACGCACGTATATCCCGACTCGCTCCTTCATACCCTCCGAAGCACGGTTCTACAGGCTACATGTCATATCTACTGATGTGTCAATACCTCAATCTGGGGCGGTGGGCTAGCCTAATGGTTAAAGCGTTCGCTCGTCACGCCGGATGCCTGGGTTTGATTCCCCACATGGGCACAAAGTGTGAAGTTCATTTTTGGTGTCCCCTGCCATGATATTGCTGGAATATTGCTGGAATATTGCTTAAAGCGGCGTAAAATCCAACTCACTCACTCTGTATCACACAATATATCTGCAATCTTAGAGACATCATCAGGCATTATTTCTGTAAATACCGATACTGAACCTCCCAATGAAACTTTTAGTTTGGTGTCACAGTTGCAGTATCATTATACTTGTTGAATATAGTGAAAATTGGGAAGAGATCTGACTCATCAAGATTACAAACTCTAAAATCTGAAATAAAATAAAAATGTTGTTAACTAACTAACTAACTAACGTGTAATCAACAACGTTATGACCATTGTTTGAAACGCATGTAAATGCCAGTCTTTATCACCAATAACCATCTTCATTTACAATACCCATTTCCCCCGCCGTGATATTGCTGGAATATTGCTAAAAGCAGCGTAAAACTAAACTCACTCCTCACTCACTCACTCACTCATTTACAATATGTAAACAATGAGTTCGACAGATATCAAGCAAACGTTTACCAAAGTTATTCACTTCTTTATCACAGTTTTTACGTGGATATTGGAAGTCATCACTGTCATACCAGTCTCCTCAAGGAATATAGTCTGAATCATCATTGGGTATGAAGTCATCCAGTGTCCCAGTCCTGCAGTTGGAATCTCCAGTCAAGATGACTTCAGCATCATAAGAACATCAAATATCATATAAACAGTCCTCTAGCCCTTCTAGACTGTCTTTTTGTTTATAGATGTAATATTGTGAGTTTTCTGGAGAAATATATAACACACAAACCACAATATCTTTAAGTTGAACACCTCCTAATCAATCATTAGATATACACTGTCTGTTACATGTGAATAAATCCCCCTTGAGTTTGCCAACAATCAGTATACACATATGCCGCCATGTTTGTTCTTGTCGACTCGCTTAGTGAAGTAAGTAGTGTGTGAGTTGACGAGAGTAAGTCACTGCAGTGATCACGTGCATATATCCATGTCTCACAAACCCGCAATAGCATACTGTGATAGCGTCTCATGAATACCTCTATTAGATTAGTGTCTCTTTTGTGATTGACAGTTCCATGTACACATTGTGATATTACAGAACCCTTCGCTTTGTTGGTCCCAAGTCCCACATTCTTTTCCAACCTCCCAATGAAGGCATTAACCCACACAGCTCGTACTACAAACCAAAAATCTTCAGGGGAAGAGAGTTTAAGACGTAACAGTTCGCTTCGCAAATCCTGGTACGCTCTGACTGTGGATTTGGTTTGTGGGTCAAGTTAAACTCATTACCTCACTCTGTAATTTTCAGTGGCCACATCTGTCGAGCCTCAATGCAAGCTCTGACGACTTCAACACAAAGGAGGACATGTACTTTAACCCTATGCTGACATACGACAATGGTGTGGACAACCAGGAACCTCAAGGTGCCTACAGGTTCTTCTCCATTCCGCGGAGTGGTGACGTCGTGATGCCTGTACCCACGTTTCGCTCCAAGGAGGAGGTTGTCAGCATCCACGACTCCTCTAGTGACCATTCAGCCAAGAGGAGATCAAATTGGAAATTCTGTGCTTTCGTTATCCTCCTTTTTCTCCTCGTCAGCATCATCGTCAGCTCCATCATTGTGTCGGTCATCCGTGAGTGTACAGTCAGCTGTAACGATGTTGTTATACATAGAAAATATAGATTAATGACAGACGCTGTTGTCATGAAGTATCCTCCATACTGAAAAATTGAAAGCTAAAAGTACCACTTATGTGTTTGCAAATAGATTGTGTAAATCAGAATTTCATAACATTGGTATTACGAATATGCTCTGAGGTATATGTTATATAACTCCTGCTTTGACGAACGTTTCAGTTACACAGAGGACATCCGAGGCACTTCCTGTTGGTGAGTACATTAGTTGCCATCAAGCACAACGAATATACAGACTGAGCAGGAAGTAATGACACTTTAACTTCCGCATCAGCAACGGCACCTCGCCAACGCTGACACTTATATACAACCAGCGAGCTTTTATTCATGCTACCCCATTTCTGGTGTCCCCGGCCGTGATATTGCTGGAATATTGCTAAAAGCGGCGTAAAACTAAACTCAGTCAGTTATTCATGCTACCACGGGGGATTGTATGAAACTTTCCGGGCAGACCAGTGATGGACAATCTGATTGCCGTGCTCGAGGTTGAGCTAATTCAGTCGCTTTTTATGGCAAGCGTTAGGAAACTGAAGGCCTGAGGATTGCCCCAGGACAACTATCTATCTGTATGATAAATAAATAGACTGAGATAGCTGGTTGTTAAAATATCTCCACGTATACCATGACTCTGTGTCACCCACCTCTGACCTTTTGTTTCCAGCACGCCTACAGTCCAGTCTCCGAGTGACGGGGAAGACGTACACGCCTGAACTCGCCGACCCCTCAAGTCCTCAGTTCCAGGCGCAAGCCACAGAATTCTGCAACCAGGTATGATGAATAATCAAACCGACAAGCAATATAATAATTAACAATTTGTGACGTTAACAGATAGTGAGTGAGTTAAAATTTATAGTCACATCGGCAATATTTCAGCCATATCGTGACTTCAAAAGATATAATTTCATAATAAATTATAAAACCTGCCAACGAAGGGCAGTGAAACAACTAGAATATCGCAGATAGAGAATTAAAACTAGCATGTAACTATAAAACGACAAACTTTTGTAGACAATACAATGTAAATAACGGGCTGGAGGTCACCAGCAACAGAATGTAGGTCACCAAGCTAAGGACTATGGGGACTTACAGTACCTTTGCTACCTGGATTTACACCATTCCTTCAGCCAAAAGTAATTGGAGACTAATATAGTCATGAATTAAAAACACAAACATTACGCGATTAAAAAAGTGGTAAGTTTAATTTTACTTTGAATGTATAAGTATTTACTACACTCTCAGGAGGACAATAATTTTACGGTACTTTTGAGGTTAAAGCAACTAACAATCTCAGTTGATGATGTAAACTACCAATCATAAAAGTGCATCTATTTACAAAACATATTAATCAAAATTTATCAATTAATTCAAACTCTTTTAAATATTCAATGATAAAATTGTAATTAACATTATAAAAAAGATCCTTCAATGTTTTGACTTTGAAATACTTATCCCTTGTGACGGAAAAATACATATAGTGAACGAATATCTTATTTAAATAGTAGACTATTTCACATACTGAAGACGCACCAATGTTAGCTTGATAGATCACAGGAATGGACCATGTAACAATGACGCGTTCTTCTTACAGATGAAGGAGACATTAGTCGCGGACAGCTCCCCGTTGAAGGACAAGGACTCTTCCTGTAAAGTACTGGAGATAAGGTAATGTCAACAGCAATTTGGACTGTTTGTCCTGTCCGGGCAGTCGGAAGGGTGGTCTCTTAAAGTCCAATGTGGCTGTCAATTTCAACACCATACAAGTTTTGACTGGTCACGCCTTGTACAAAATGACTCTCAGCATTCTACATATCACACGACACATCAGACAAGACAAGGCGGACATTGTGAAATAGCATACCGCCTTTGTGTTCCATCACAGAATATCCATGAGTTAAAAGATCATTGAAACACTGACAAGTATATTAATGCTGATGCGATGTGATGTGAAGCTGAGAATAATTGAATGTAATTTGTCAACACTTCTTCCTTTCCAGAAACGGCAGTTTAATCTTTATCTACGAGATAATAGTACAACAAATAGCATCTGGATTGGGAGAAGTGTTGAGAGATGAATTGGCGCAGTTTGTCATTGAACAATCGAAAGATGGACAAATCGGGACTTTAAACGTGGACTCAACAAGAGAATGTGGGTTGATACTTACGGCATCGAGGGTTACATCGTCTGCTCTACTCTGTCCTCCTCCACCTACTACCACAACATCAACCAACAATACTCCATCATCATCCAAGGTTCAGTCGTCCTCAGCCACAGTTTCATCGTCGACAGTGACGCCACGAGGAACAATAAGTACCCAATCGGCGACTGTCACAACTGTTGCATCATCACCGTTATCTACGCAGTCATCGTCGACATTGACACCTCCGGCTACAACAACTGCCCAATCGACAGCTGCCACAATTGCTGCATCATCACCGTCATCTACGCAGACATCATCGACAGTGCCACCTCCGGATACAACTACTACCCAATCGACAGCTGCCACAACTGCTGCATCATCACCATCTACTACGCAGGCATCATCGACAGTGCCACCTCCGGATACAACTACTACCCAATCGACAGCTGCCACAACTGCTGCATCATCAGCGTTGTCTACGCAGTCATCGTCAACAGTGACACCTCCCGCAACAACAACTACCCAATCGACGTCTGCCACAACCGCCGCATCATCAGTGTCTTCTACGCAGTCATCGTCAACAGTTACACCTCCAGCAACTACTACTTCCCAATCGACGACTTCCACATCAACTGCATCATCTTTACCATCGACGACAGTGACAACATCGTCAACAGTGACACCTCCAGCAACAACTACTACCCAATCGACAACTGCCACAACTGTTGCATCATCACCGTTATCTACGCAGTCATCATCGACAGTGACACCTCCGGCTACAACAACTGCCCAATCGACAGCTGCCACAACTGCTGCATCATCACCATCTACTACGCAGACATCATCGACAGAGCCACCTCCAGGAACAACTACTACCCAATCGACAACTGCCACAACCACTGCATCATTTTTACCAACTTCCACGCAGTTATCGACAGTCACACCTCCTGCAACAACTACTACCCAAACGGCGACTACCGCAACTGCCACATCATCAGTTTCTTCTACACAATCATCGTCAACAGTGACACCTCCAGCAACAACTACTACCCAATCGACAACTGCCACAACCGCCGCATCATCAGTGTCTTCTACGCAGTCATTGTCAACAGGGACAGCTTCAGCAACAACTACTACCCAATCGAGTACCTTCACATCAACTGCATCATCTTTACCATCTTCCACGCAGTTATCGACGACAGTGACACCATCGTCAACAGTGACGTCAACAGTGACAACCACTGAATCCAGCGTCATCTACGCAATCATTGTCAACAGTGACACCCCAGCAACAACTACTACCCAATCGACGACTTCCACATCAACTGCATCATCTTTACCATCGACGACAGTGACACCATCGTCAACAGTGACACCTCCAGTAATAACTACAACCCAATCGACAACTGCCACAACCACTGAGTCGTCAGTGTCATCAACGCAATCATCGTCAACAGTGACAGCTCCAGCAACAACTACTATCGAATCGACAACTGCCACAACCACTGCATCATCTTTACCAACTTCCACGCAGTCATCGACAGTCACACCTCCTGCAGCAACTACTACCCAAACGGCGACTACCTCAACCTCCACATCATCAGTGTCTTCTACACAATCATCGTCAACAGTGACACCTCCAGGAACAACTACTACCCAATCGACAACTGCCACAACTGTTGCATCATCACCGTTATCTACGCAGTCATCATCGACAGTGACACCTCCGGCTACAACAACTGCCCAATCGACGACTTCCACATCAACTGCATCATCTTTACCATCTTCCACGCAGTTATCGACGACAGTGACACCATCGTCAACAGTGACACCTCCAGTCACAACTACAACCCAATCGACAGTTGCCACAACCACTGAGTCGTCAGTGTCATCAACGCAATCATCGTCAACAGTGACAGCTCCAGCAACAACTGTTGCACTATCGAATCGACAACTGGCCACAAGCTGCCCAATCCACTGCCATCATGCATCATCTTTACCAACTTCCACGCAGTCATCGACAGTCACACCTCCTGCAGCAACTACTACCCAAATGGCGACTACCTCAACCTCCACATCATCAGTGTCTTCTACTACAATCATCGTCAACAGTGACACCTCCAGGAACAACTACTACCCAATCGACAACTGCCACAACTGTTGCATCATCATGCTACGCATCATCATCAGTGACACCTCCAGTTATCGACAACGCAGTCATCATCGACAACAGGGACAGCTTCAGCAACAACTACTACCCAATCGAGTACCTTCATCATCAACTGCATCATCTTTACCATCTTCCACGCAGTTATCGACGACAGTGACACCATCGTCAACAGTGACACCTCCAGTCACAACTACAACCCAATTGACAGTTGCCACAACCACTGAATCGTCAGCGTCATCTACGCAATCATCGTCAACAGTGACACCCCCAGCAACAACTACTACCCAATCGACGACTTCCACATCAACTGCATCATCTTTACCATTGACGACAGTGACACCATCGTCAACAGTGACACCTCCAGTAATAACTACTACCCAATCGACAACTGCCACAACCACTGAGTCGTCAGTGTCATCAACGCAATCATCGTCAACAGTGACAGCTCCAGCAACAACTACTATCGAATCGACAACTGCCACAACCACTGCATCATCTTTTTACCAACTTCCACGCAGTCATCGACAGTCACACCTCCTGCAGCAACTACTACCCAAATGGCGACTACCTCAACCTCCACATCATCAGTGTCTTCTACACAATCATCGTCAACAGTGACACCTCCAGGAACAACTACTACCCAATCGACAACTGCCACAACTGTTGCATCATCACCGTTATCTACGCAGTCATCATCGACAGTGACACCTCCGGCTACAACAACTGCCCAATCGACGACTTCCATCAACTGCATCATCTTTACCATCTTCCACGCAGTTATCGACGACAGTGACACCATCGTCAACAGTGACACCTCCAGTCACAACTACAACCCAATCGACAGTTGCCACAACCACTGAGTCGTCAGTGTCATCAACGCAATCATCGTCAACAGTGACAGCTCCAGCAACAACTACTATCGAATCGACAACTGCCACTACCACTGCATCATCTTTACCAACTTCCACGCAGTCATCGACAGTCACACCTCCTGCAGCAACTACTACCCAAATGGCGACTACCTCAACCTCCACATCATCAGTGTCTTCTACACAATCATCGTCAACAGTGACACCTCCAGGAACAACTACTACCCAATCGACAACTGCCACAACTGTTGCATCATCACCGTTATCTACGCAGTCATCATCGACAGTGACACCTCCAGCAACAACTACTACCCAATCGACAACTGCCACAACCGCCGCATCATCAGTGTCTTCTACGCAGTCATTGTCAACAGGGACAGCTTCAGCAACAACTACTACCCAATCGAGTACCTTCACATCAACTGCATCATCTTTACCATCTTCCACGCAGTTATCGACGACAGTGACACCATCGTCAACAGTGACACCTCCAGTCACAACTACTACCCAATTGACAGTTGCCACAACCACTGAATCGTCAGCGTCATCTACGCAATCATCGTCAACAGTGACACCCCCAGCAACAACTACTACCCAATCGACGACTTCCACATCAACTGCATCATCTTTACCATCGACGACAGTGACACCATCGTCAACAGTGACACCTCCAGTAATAACTACAACCCAATCGACAACTGCCACAACCACTGAGTCGTCAGTGTCATCAACGCAATCATCGTCAACAGTGACACCTCCAGCAACAACTACTATCGAATCGACAACTGCCACAACCACTGCATCATCTTTACCAACTTCCACGCAGTCATCGACAGTCACACCTCCTGCAGCAACTACTACCCAAACGGCGACTACCTCAACCTCCACATCATCAGTGTCTTCTACACAATCATCGTCAACAGTGACACCTCCAGGAACAACTACTACCCAATCGACAACTGCCACAACTGTTGCATCATCACCGTTATCTACGCAGTCATCATCGACAGTGACACCTCCGGCTACAACAACTGCCCAATCGACGACTTCCACATCAACTGCATCATCTTTACCATCTTCCACGCAGTTATCGACGACAGTGACACCATCGTCAACAGTGACACCTCCAGTCACAACTACAACCCAATCGACAGTTGCCACAACCACTGAGTCGTCAGTGTCATCAACGCAATCATCGTCAACAGTGACAGCTCCAGCAACAACTACTATCGAATCGACAACTGCCACTACCACTGCATCATCTTTACCAACTTCCACGCAGTCATCGACAGTCACACCTCCTGCAGCAACTACTACCCAAATGGCGACTACCTCAACCACCACATCATCAGTGTCTTCTACACAATCATCGTCAACAGTGACACCTCCAGGAACAACTACTACCCAATCGACAACTGCCACAACTGTTGCATCATCACCGTTATCTACGCAGTCATCATCGACAGTGACACCTCCAGCAACAACTACTACCCAATCGACAACTGCCACAACCACTGCATCATCTTTACCAACTTCCACGCAGTCATCGACAGTCACACCTCCTGCAGCAACTACTACCCAAACGGCGACTACCTCAACCTCCACATCATCAGTGTCTTCTACACAATCATCGTCAACAGTGACACCTCCAGGAACAACTACTACCCAATCAACAACTGCCACAACCGCCGCATCATCTCCGTTATCTACGCAGTCATCATCGACAGTGACACCTCCGGCTACAACAACTGCCCAATCGACGACTTCCACATCAACTGCATCATCTTTACCATCTTCCACGCAGTTATCGACGACAGTGACACCATCGTCAACAGTGACACCTCCAGTCACAACTACAACCCAATCGACAGTTGCCACAACCACTGAATCGTCAGCGTCATCAACGCAATCATCGTCAACAGTGACAGCTCCAGCAACAACTACTATCGAATCGACAACTGCCACTACCACTGCATCATCTTTACCAACTTCCACGCAGTCATCGACAGTCACACCTCCTGCAGCAACTACTACCCAAATGGCGACTACCTCAACTTCCACATCATCAGTGTCTTCTACACAATCATCGTCAACAGTGACACCTCCAGGAACAACTACTACCCAATCGACAACTGCCACAACTGTTGCATCATCACCATCTACGCAGTCATCATCAACAGTGACACCTCCAGCAACAACTACTACCCAATCGACGCTTGCCACAACTGCCGCATCATCAGTGTCTTCTACGCAGTCATCATCAACAGGGACAGCTTCAGCAACAACTACTACCCAATCGACCTTCACATCAACTGCATCATCTTTACCATCTTCCACGCAGTTATCGACGACATGACACCATCGTCAGCAGTGACTTCCAGTCACAACTACAACCCAATTGACAGGTTGCCACAACCCACTGACGTCAGCGTCATCTACGCAACATCGTCAACAGTGACACCCCCAGCAACAACTACTACCCAATCGACGACTTCCACATCAACTGCATCATCTTTACCATTGACGACAGTGACACCATCGTCAACAGTGACACCTCCGGTAATAGCTACAACCCAATCGACAACTGCCACAACCACTGGTCGTCAGTGTCATCAAGCGCAATCATCGTCAACAGTGACAGCTCCAGCAACAACTACTATCAGATCGACAACTGCCACAACCACTGCATCATCTTTACCAGCTTCCGCGCGGTCATCGACAGTCACACCTCCTGCAGCAACTACTACCCAAACGGCGACTACCTCAACCTCCACATCATCAGTGTCTTCTACACAATCATCGTCAACAGTGACACCTCCAGGAACAACTACTACCCAATCGACAACTGCCACAACTGTTGCATCATCACCGTTATCTACGCAGTCATCATCGACAGTGACACCTCCGGCTACAACAACTGCCCAATCGACGACTTCCACATCAACTGCATCATCTTTACCATCTTCCACGCAGTTATCGACGACAGTGACACCATCGTCAACAGTGACACCTCCAGTCACAACTACAACCCAATCGACAGTTGCCACAACCACTGAATCGTCAGCGTCATCTACGCAATCATCGTCAACAGTGACACCCCCAGCAACAACTACTACCCAATCGACGACTTCCACATCAGCTGCATCATCTTTACCATCGACGACAGTGACACCATCGTCAACAGTGACACCTCCAGTAATAACTACAACCCAATCGACAACTGCCACAACCACTGGGTCGTCCAGTGTCATCAACACAATCATCGTCAACGGTGACACCTCAGCAACAACTACTATCAATCGACAACTGCCACAACCACTGCATCATCTTTACCAACTTCCACGCAGTCATCGTCAGTGACACCTCCTGCAGCAACTACTACCCAAACGGCGATACCTCAACCTCCACATCATCATCATGTCTTCTACATCTACGCAATCATCGTCAACAGTGACACCTCCAGGAACAACTACTACCCAATCGACAACTGCCACAGCTGCCGCATCATCACCGTTATCTACGCAGTCATCATCAACAGTGACACCTCCAGCAACAACTACTACCCAATCGACGACTTCCACATCAACTGCATCATCTTTACCATCTTCCACGCAGTCATCGACGACAGTGACACCATCGTCAACAGTGACACCTCCCGCAACAACTACTACCCAATCGACAACTGCCACAACCACTGCATCGTCAGCGTCATCTTCTACGCAATCATCGTCAACAGTGACACCCCCAGCAACAACTACTACCCAATCGACGACTTCCACATCAGCTGCATCATCTTTACCATCGACGACAGTGACACCATCGTCAACAGTGACACCTCCCGTAACAACTACTACCCAATCGACAACTGCCACAACCACTGCATCATCAGCGTCATCTACGCAATCATCGTCAACAGTGACACCTCCAGCAACAACTACTACCCAATCGACGACTTCCACATCAACTGCATCATCTTTACCATCTTCCACGCAGTTATCGACAGTCACACCTCCTGCAGCAACTACTACCCAAACGGCGACTACCTCAACCTCCACATCATCAGTGTCTTCTACACAATCATCGTCAACAGTGACACCTCCAGGAACAACTACTACCCAATCGACAACTGCCACAACTGTTGCATCATCACCGTTATCTACGCAGTCATCATCGACAGTGACACCTCCGGCTACAACAACTGCCCAATCGACGACTTCCACATCAACTGCATAATCTTTACCATCTTCCACGCAGTTATCGACGACAGTGACACCATCGTCAACAGTGACACCTCCAGTCACAACTACAACCCAATCGACAGTTGCCACAACCACTGAATCGTCAGCGTCATCTACGCAATCATCGTCAACAGTGACACCCCCAGCAACAACTACTACCCAATCGACGACTTCCACATCAGCTGCATCATCTTTACCATCGACGACAGTGACACCATCGTCAACAGTGACACCTCCAGTAATAACTACAACCCAATCGACAACTGCCACAACCGCTGCATCATCAGCGTCTTCTACGCAGTCATTGTCAACAGGGACACCTCCAGCAACAACTACTACCCAATCGACGACTTCCACATCAACTGCATCATCTTTACCATCTTCCACGCAGTTATCGACGACAGTGACATCATCGTCAACAGTGACACCTACAGCACCAACTACTACCTAATCAACGACTTCCACAACCGCTGCATCATCTTTACCATCTTCCACACAGTCACCGGTCAATAGGTGACACCTCCCACAACAACTATACCCAATCGAAGACTGCCACAACTGCTGCATTATTAATACCAGAATCACAGCTTCAGTATTATGCTCAACGCCTGATGCTCAGATAACATCTTCTACAATCGCTGCTTCAGTATCATTCTCAGCGCCTGTTGCCCAGACGACGTCTACCATAATCACAGCTTCAGTATCATCTTCAACGCCTCTTGACCAGACGACATCTGCCACCATCGCTGCTTTAGCATCATCATCAACGACCGTTGCCCAGTCCACGTCTACCACAATTACTGCTTTATCGTCGTCATTGCAATTATCGTCGGCTGTGACACAATCTGTAAGATCTGTTGCACAGTCAGCGTCTGTCTCAGGACAAGCTTCAGTAATATCTTCTATACAATCATCGTCGACACCTACAACATCATATGTTGCCCATTCAACATCTTCGATAATTGCTGCTGCTTCATCGTCGTTGGTCGTGACACAACCCACAACGCCAGTTATACAGTCAACTTTGACCCAATCTTCAGCAACGTCTTCTATTCAGTGAACATCGGCAGTGACACATTAAGGCCTGTTACCCAAACAGCATCTGCCATAATCGCTGCTTCAAAATCGTAGCCATTGCAATCGTCGTCGACCTTGACACAATCTCCAGCATCTGTTGCTCCGTTGACATCTGCCACAATAATCACTTCAGCATCGTCTTCTATGCAGTCATCGTTGACAGTGAAACCTGCATCAACAACTGTTGCCCAGTCGACATCTGGCACAACCGTCACGTAAGCATCACCTTCCATGCAATTATCATCGTCAGTGACAACTGGGGGTAATATCTATCCATCCCTATACAATCTCTATTGACGTCATCACCCCTGGCACTCATCCTCTATATATTAATATCCTTAATATCCCAAACAATATCCCCAGCATGGATTATGGTATATTACACAAATTGGTGGGATGTGAATAAATACTTATTATGGAAATAACAACGTGCAGCGTCTAAAAGTCGGACACAAGATACCAGGAAGAAATGTGTCCCCTGGCACTTACTGGCCTGTTCGCTAGTTCGAACTTGTCTTGTAATACATGTGCTTTTCCTTGTATTATATTAAAACATGTAAATATGTATACGTGTATATGAACCCTCACTTCTAAGCTGTACGTAACATTAATAAACTATATTACCATTATTTACTTTATTGTCACAACATTGAATTGTATAACGCAGTGTGTGTGAAGATTGGCAGTGATTCAGTGGTCAAGGACAATGAGTCAAGGATTGAGGTTTATGAGTACGCCCACTCACAGACTTAAGCAAGAGTATACTGATTTGATACACGTTGCCATGACGGCAAGATATTGCAAACACAACAATGTAGTTGATACTTGCTACACAATGACGCCTTGACACTTATAAATGATACGACATGATACATAATGCTTGAAAATGGCCGTATATTTTCTACAGGGTGACGACCTGCTACGTGCCACACAACGTAGACCTGATATATGTCGCTTGGACATGCGCTGTTTCGTGCAAAATGAAACTGTCCTGATACTTACTTCACAATCTACCATGACATTGAAAAATGCTTGATTCTGATTGGTTGACGGGGCTCCTTTATTCCTTGTGAAACCCATTTCAAATATGGTAGGACTATGAATTCTTAAGCGTTCGGTTCCAAATTACAATACGTGGTATCTACTCTTCAGTGTCCATACATCTTCAACACACAGCAGGCTTCACTCCTAGATGATGCCCTCACACTTGCTCAATACACATGAACCGATACTTCCACCAAACGTCCTGACACTTCCTGACACATACATATAGAAGGCATGGAACACAACTTTTGCTTCCTGCGCTCCCCTAGATCTCTTAACGTATGCACGACAGCGACCTGATACGTGATACACAGTGACGACCTGATACGTGCTACAAGACATCGAGCTGATAATTGCTCCATGACAACGACCTGATACTTGCTGCACGACAGCGGCCTGATACGTGATACACAGTGACGACCTGATACGTGATACACAGTGACGACCTGATACGTGCTACACGACCACGACCTGATACGTGCTGCACAGTGACGACCTGATACTTGCTGTACAGTGACGACCTGATACGTGCTGCACGACAGCGACCTGATACCTGATACACAGTGACGACCTGATACGTGATACACAGTGACGACCTGATACGTGCTACACGACCACGACCTGATACATGCTGCACAGTGACGACCTGATACTTGCTGTACAGTGACGACCTGATACGTGCTGCACGACAGCGACCTGATACCTGATACACAGTGACGACCTGATACGTGATACACAGTGACGACCTGATACGTGCTACACGACCACGACCTGATACATGCTGCACAGTGACGACCTGATACTTGCTGTACAGTGACGACCTGATACGTGCTGCACGACAGCGACCTGATACCTGATACACAGTGACGACCTGATACGTGATACACAGTGACGACCTGATACGTGATACACAGTGACGACCTGATACGTGCTACACGACCACGACCTGATACGTGCTGCACAGTGACGACCTGATACTTGCTGTACAGTGACGACCTGATACGTGCTGCACGACAGCGACCTGATACGTGCTCCACGACAACGACCTGATACGTGCTGCAAGAACACAGCATGATACGTGTTCGACTGTGACGACCTGATACATGCTACACAAAACGATGTGATACTCGTTATAGCCAGAAGACCTGATACATGCCATACGAAGGCGACCTGATACGTGTTGCCTGAACATGTGCTTGCTTATTCGTACTACATGAAGACGCCCTCATACTTGCAAACTGAAAATGAACAGACTTTGCTTCACAGTCTAAAATTGCTTGATTCTGATGCTGATTGGTTAAAACAAGTTCTCTATCACTATTGAAACCCACGTTAGGACTTTGCACACAGGACTTTGCACACAGGAGTCCTTGGTTTTCCAGATTGAAATACGATAGTATCTCCCCGTCCTGATACTCTGCAGTGGGACTACATCTCCCCCACATTTCAAAACACCCCGTCCTGATTCCCCACCGTATGATGCTCCCCACGTCCTGATACTCCCCCACGTCCTGATAACCCGTCCTACTTCCCCACGTCCTGATACTTCCCACGTCCTGATACTTGCTTGTCCTGGGAAATAGATCACAACTCCCACGTCCTGATACAACGAATATAGTCCTGATTTGATACTCCCCACGACTTGGAACTTATACACTTAGACTTATGCTTACTGTCGTGACAAATATATGTAAATGTGTTCAAGTGATGGAAACTGTCAGTAATGCATCATCAAGACCTCTTTAACTTCAGGGGTCTTCTGTACGATAAGTTAAAACTCTATAAATATTAGTATTTGAAGGTAACATGCCAGACCCAGTCAAAAGTTTACCTTGTTGTGTTGGCAACAGTTTTGGGCAGTTCAAAGGAGAAAACTAATCGGACCACTACTCCCCCATTTCAGGATATCGTTGATCTCGTCTCAAGGCCTCTTCCCTCATACCACAGACTGACACCACATTGGGCTTACAAAGCAACACAAAAATGGAAATGCATAAACAACTAAACAAAACAGTCGGACCATTTACCTCAGTTATGATTGACACTGATAACAATTCGATGCTATGTTATGACGAATGTTATCTGTACGTTTTTCTTGTAGCTGCTCATGGACATGGTAAGTGTGTGTGTGTTTTAATCTGCTCCAGCGCCAGACCTTGCACAAGGACAGACAATTAAGTCTTGGATGTACCTGACCAAACTGGAGTTAAGTACATGCAATGGTCGCGTCACAAATGAGGTTCCAAAGTGATCTTCTCTATTGCGTGGCATCATCCAAAGTCAAGTCAAACATCTTCGACCCGAATACTCGCCGAGGGTTTTATAGAAGCCATGGTGACCAAACATCTGAAACTACAGATGAGCACTCCAAACCAACCATCGAAAGACCATCAACAAAGAAACACCACATGGTTGAGTTAGTGAGTGAGGATTCACAGTCACACCGACAATATTTCAGCCATATCGTTACTAAATCAAGTTATACACTAATTATGCATTTCAAACTAATAACAAATGTCATAAAAGGGCTGTAAATCAACAAGATTATCACAGATATAGGTCTAAAACTGTTACGTGAGCATTAAAATGTGACTATACATTCTTAAACTGGGCTCAAGATCACCAGCATCCAAAGTTAGGCCACCATACTGGGGACCATGGGGGCCTACAGTACTTCTGCTACCTTCATGGTACCCCAGCTGGATTTACAACATCCCTTTGGTTACTGAAGATTATCAGACATTGAAGCCAAGCAATTAAAACTAACAAAAAGGCTACTATCAAAAGCACGGATTATGACAAATTCTTTCAATGTCATGGGATTTACATACCCTCCCCGTTGAAGGTACAGCCATTAACAATCAAAGTTATTTATTTCTTCTTCCAAATTAAGATATATCGTTACTATTTACAATATATATTCTCATCACAATTTACCAATCAGTTCAATTTATTTATAAAAAAACAATACCTAAATGTGGACTGACCCTAAAAGGATCATTCAAGCTTGAAACTTCGGAATACTTATCACTTCTGATAGAAAGATATGGCTTAGACCAGCGTCACGGATATCCAAATCAGAGTGAGATCGCTTTGGAGGCAATGGTTCATGAAACTGCTCGCCATTTGATAAGATTAGAAGGTAATGTTAACTCCATAATGTTCTTCCGTCAACAATGGATCAACGATATGATGCAGAATCTGCCGAAAGACAACGGCTAAAATCTTCGTACAAACGTCCATGTTTCACTGGAAACAACAACATGAAGATTCTGCAAACTAATTTGAATAGCATGAAAAGAACTCATTATGTTGACATTAGCAGGAGGGTACAAGGTCACAAGAGTGAGTGAGTTAAAAATTTTAGTCACAGAAAAGAAATTAGACACCAAACTTGATGCACTGGATATAAATTGCATGTAAGTGTCTTCTTCAACATCATCCATATCACCAGCAGCTGCAACGTCATCCAGTACATCACGTCAAGCACTCAACTCTGATGAAAGGACCAGGGTATGTGACCTCCTTCTCATCATCAGTTGTGGGAGCGGGTAAGACTGCCTTAGGATGTATGATAATACACTCGGCAAGTTGGAACGGCGTCATTGATACAGTAATGTTACCTTGAACGGATCAGGACTTTACACACTTAAGCCACATTTAAGTCAGATTTGTAATTCTTCGAAGTTGTTTTACAATACTTTGTACTTCTGAAGACAGGCCATGAGTAATTGAGTAAATGTAGCCTAATGTCGCATTAGCAATATTGCAGCTATTCGCGGCTATCAACCGAGAGGAAATTGTACGGTAAATTCCCGACCAGTGTTCACGAACCTCAGCAGCGCTCTTTACCCGCCCTCCTGAACCCCCTCAGAACTTCTGAAGTCAGACAACGTGAGACAGTTTTTCTCTTCTCTGACGGGGAAGAGGATGAGGATGAGAAGGTGTGTTCACCTCGCCCGACCACCTGGATGTTCTGGAGACAGTTTCGTCATGCACTGCTCACTGGAATCAACTGTGTATCATCCATGCCAGATTGGTTCTAGCATGTGCCTGACCACCAAATATCATTATACCGTCGCCTGTTTGATCTAATAAAGTTGCATCGCCTTGCATCGCCTGGCCTCTCTTTTATTTCCCTTTTCCCTTCCAGTTAGGCGGAAAGTCCAAGACATCGGTCCTGCTATTCAGTACCAAGAAAATCGAGCGGCCCCTCGCTTGTTAAGCAGATATGTCGACTTGCATGACAGGGGCAGGGGACTGTCAACTGTCGAGTCTTAACAAACGAAAGGAACAACCATTGAAATACTTACTTTTTTTCCAATATATTTTATTTATTTCAGCTGTTTTACAATATTGCTCAGATTCAACAGGGTTTCTTGACAGTCGGGGTAGGTTCCTTTTCCATCAATGAACATGACAGATTATTGTAGTAGTTCCTTCGGCCATTTGCTTTCCAATTTTAGGATACTGTTGGTATGTGTGGAGATGTATTCTTCAATAGATATAATGTCTTTAAGAATTTTCACAAAACTATGTTTAATACATTGTTTTTAAAACTAGTAACATAAATGTATCTTTTGGC